GCGGAACTCGTCCAGCCTGCACGACCACTTGCCCTCTTCTGGCCCTCGCTCGGACGTCCACTCCCTGCGCAGTTTTCGATTCCGAGCGATGCCAAGCCTTTTCCCTCCTCGGCGCTGCACCTGCTCTGTTTCCTCCTGTCCCTGCCCTGCGCCTGCAACGCCTCCACCCTTCCTCCCTGTCCCCCTCCTGCCCTTGCCGTGTGGGCCGGTCTGGCGCTTCGCCTCACAGATGCCCTCAAGACCCAGCCCGCGGGGGCGCCACGCGCAAAACTCTTTGTTGAGGTGCCTCGAGGGAGGGGTCAACGCTCGGTCAAGTACGGGTGATCGATGCCGAGCAACACGCGCCTACGCTTACCCACCGTATCTGCAGTAGCTTTTGAAACTGTCTGACGGAAATAACCGGGAACAATTAGGTTGGCCAATGTGTGTTCGAGAGCAGGTCGGATGAAGCAGCGATTTCCATGAACGTCCATATCCATATGTAGAAGTGAAAGTGGGAGACATACTTACACATCAGACGCGACATAACGTTTTTGAAGTATCACATCCAAGCGCAAGCCTGTCACATTATGTCCTACCAGCCCTCTTGGCGCAGGTTGTGTAACGCTTATTCTCTTCTCTCTTCCAAAAATCCTTCCTCCACCACTCGGGGAGGGGCTCGTTACTGCTCCTTGCTAATCAACGTCCCCTCCCACACTTGATTGGCCACCAACCCGAGCTAATGAGAGCCCCCCCACTATCCCTGTACAACATATCCAGGCCACGAGCCCAACCATACGTATGAAGTTGTGAGCAGCGCGGCTGTGGGTATCCTCTTCGGTGGAGCCCGTTTGGGGGCACGAAATGTGTGATAGAAGAACCAAAGTTGGTGCGGTGCCGCCATGCGAACGCAGCCACAAGGGCCTATGGGGCCACGAAGCGTGTGAGGGGTGTGCCGAAATCGACGCCGTGCCGCCATGCGAACGCAGCCACAAGGGCCTTCCATGGAACTCCCTATGGGGCCACGAAGCGTGTGAGGGGTGTGTGCCGAAATCGACTGGGTGCCGCCATGCGAATGCAACCACTGGGGCCTTCCGTGGAACTCCCTATGGGGCCACGAAGCGTGTGAAGGGTGTGCCGACATGCGTGTGGTGCCGCCACGCGAACGCAACCACTGGGGCCTTCGATGGAACTCCATTTGGGGCCACGAAGCGTGTGATGGGGTGTGCCGAAACGGGTGCGGTGCCGCCATGCCGTCGCAGCCCTTGGGGCTTTCAATGGAACTCACAATGTGGCCACGAAACGTGTGATAGGTGTGCAGAAACAGGCGCGGCGCCGCCATGCGCATGCAGCCACCGCGGCCTTTGGACGAACTCCCTATGGGGCAACACGGAGCCACGAACCGTGGGAGGGGCGTGTGCCGAAATCCGCGCGGTGCCGCCATGCGACCGCAGCCACTTGGGCCTCTGGTGGAGCTAATAATGGGGCCACGAAGCGTCTGAGGGGTGCCGGTTTCGCCATGCGAGCGCAGCCACTGGGGCCTTCGGCGGAGCATCCTACGGGGCCACGGATCGTGTGAGCGCTGTGCCGAAACGGTCGTGGCACCGCCGTGCGAAAAGCAGCCACTGGGGCCTGCGGTGTAGCTTCCTCTGGGCCACGAAACGAGTGAGGAGTGTGCTGACATGGGCATGCGGAGGGCAGAGGCACGGACGGAAGGAAGCAGCGGGAGGAGGTGGGGACGCGGGGCGCCTTCTTTTCAAGACGAGGGCCAACACCACAGAACGGTTGGAAACTATACCTTTGAAAAACAACATGCACTTTGCGATCAAGTCTGGATCATGTTCGGGTGCCCCGCGATCACTCCGTGCTCTTTCTTGAAAGGGACCTGTGCCTTCCCGCATGCGGCGACCTCGGCATCAGAACCGACAGTTGACGTCGGGCTACAGATTTGTCTCCCGCATATGGCCGAGGAGAGCCAAAGCCCGCTGCCACTGCTCGCCCTTGTCGCACGCGCTGATCCTGGCGTTCTGGCTGATGACGCTGGGCTCAAGTTTCGCCTCTGCCGCTTCGCTGAGCAGCGCCACGGCCTTCTGCTACTGTTCGCCATTCTCGCGAGCGCTGATCCCAGCGTTGTGGCTGAAGGCTGAGCTGACACGCGGACTCTGTCCACAGAAGCTGCGCGAACTAGCACGTGATGGTGGACATGCTGCCGAAAAGCTGAAATGATGACGCGGGGATCAAAATTCGCATTCCGCGCATGCTACTGCGCACTGCTGCTTGCTGCCGCTGTTGTGCTGTTGGTGATGCTTGCCGCAACTGCGTGCTGCGGCTGCAGTTCGGAATACCGCTTTCGGAGCCGTCGTGGGGTTCTTGGACAGGTTCGGAGGTCTCCGAACCGCCCTATGGGCCAGAACGTGGAGGCACCACATGGCACTACGGTCTAGGGAGAGCTGAACAACCTTTGGAAACGCAGAATGTCTGGCATTGTAATGAAGATGACGTCGGGCTCCAGCTTCGCCTCTCACATCTCGCTGAGCAACGCCAGGGCCCGCTGCCACTGCTCCCCCTTCTCGCACGCGCTGATCCCGGTGCTGCAGCCGATAACGTCGGGCTCCAATTTCACTTCCCACATCTCGCTCATCAGCGCCAGCGCCCGCTGCCATTGCTCGCCCTTCTGGCACGCGCTGATCCCAGCGCTGTAGCTGACTAGGGCAGACCTGTGGACTCCGTCCACGAAATCAGCTCGACGTGGCGAGGGGTCTCTGGGCAAGCGCGGGGGTGTGCGGCTGCAGGGCCGAAAGGCAATCATGATGCCTTCGATATGCCGGTCGCCTCTCGTCCGCTCCCCCCCTCTTGGAAGCAATTCTGAGGCCACACAGGGCTTCGTGGGGGCCGTTTGGGGATCTCTTGGGGCGCTTTTGCCTGCGATATGCCTGTCGCCTCTCGTCCGCTCCCCCGCTCCTGGAGGGAATTCTGAAGCCACTGAAGGCTTCGTGGGGGCCGTTTCGGAGCCTCTTCGGCCTTCTTTTGGGCCTCCCGGGGGGGCTCTTAGGGCCCTCTCGGGCCGTCTTGGGTGCCTCTTGGGCCGTCTTGGGGCCGTCTGAGGCCCGCCTCGGCGCCTCTTGGGCTGTCGTGGGCCGTCTTGGGCCGCTCCTGGGGCCGTCTTGGGTGCCTCTTGGGCCGTCTTGGGCGCGTCCTGGGCCGTCCTGGGGCCGTCCTGGGGCGTCTTGGGACCGTCTTGGGGCCCTCCTGGCCCGTCTTGGGGCTCTCTTGGGGTCCTCTTCGGCCGTCTTGGAGCGGTCGGGGGGACTTCTTGGGCCGTCTTGGAGCGTCGGGAAGCCGAAGAGGCGAGGAGGCCGAGAACATCGAAAAACACAATAGAAATCGACGATTTCTGTCGCTCGGGGCCCTCTTGGGAGGCCTCTTGGGAGGCCTCTTCGGGCGTCTTGGACGCCTCTTGGGCCGTCTGGGGCGAATCTCAGGCGTCTCGGGCCCATCTTTAAGCGTGCCGGGGCTCTCCGGGGCCGTCTTGGGGGCTTCTGGGGGCCCTCTCGACATGTCCTGGAGCCTGCCTGGGCGGCCCTGGGCGGCCCGGGGCCAGCCCGGGGCGGTTTCGGTGCATTGGGGCCTGCGCCATTCTGGCACGCACTGGGCCCTGCAATGTAGTAGAGACTAGGGCTGACCCGTGGACTCCGTCCACGACATCTTTCTGGAATGGTTCTCGGAGAAACGGTGCAGATTGTGCCGAAAATCTACAAACACGGCGGCGGCCCGGGCGGCGGCAGCGAGACCGCGCCTTCGTGTCCGAGCTCTTGTAGCGCTCCAGCAGGTTGGCCCGGCGCACTGCTCGTTCACCCCCCTCCTATTGAGGGCAGTTTCGAAGTCTTTCGGGGATGCGCGTCGAAGTCGAAGCCCATCTGAAGGGTCTCAGGAGCGCCCGGGGAAGGGCTCGGGAGGCCATCGGGGAAAGCCACCGAAAGCGCCAGGGAGGCTCGCAAGGATCTACAGGGAGGGCCCAAGAGAGCTTCAAGAACATTTGAATTTCAGTAAAATCTTTAGAGCAACCGCTGTTGGGTCGGTCATCACCTCCGGGCGTGCCTTAATGGTGCGATCCAGTCGCATCACCGCCAACGGGAGGGTTTGTTCGCCATGTCCCATTCTGTTCGCCCAGAGGGTCTGTGGAGGCCTTCGGGCGAACAGAACGGGACAGGGCAAGGAATGGGGAAGACTTGTCCGAATCTCCTGGGCCCCCCAGGTGCACGTCCGAAGAGTGCGGAGAGGTCCCTGGGTCATATCAATTGGCTGCTGTCCCAGGGGTCCGGTCTGGTTGGCCCGAAGAGTTTGCCAAGGGGGAACATAATGGCACAGCATATCGGGCAAAAGGGGGCGGTAGCTGGCCTGTCAGACCAAGCGTTCGTCTTCTGCCCAAGCGGCGCGGGGCCCACGGGCCCCAGGGTTGGCGGCCCGCTGGGTTTCCTCCTGTTCGCCCACAGGGTTGGAGGAGGCCTCCAGGCGAACAGAATGGGGCAGGACAATGAATGTGGGAGACTTGTCGCAAGCTCCCAGCCCCCCCAAGTGTTCGCCCGAAGGGTGTGGGGCCGCGTTGGCTCCTTCAAAGGGCCGTCTTGGAGCCGTCTAGGCCCGTCTTGAGGGCGCCGTTTGCCGTGATGGGGCCGTCTTGATTCGTCGCGGGCCCATCATGGGCGCGTCCGTAGGCCGTCCTGGGCCCATCGGGGTCCTTGTTGGCACTATCGTGGGGCTGTCTTGGAGCCGTCTGGGGACGTGAGGGGGCCGCCTTGGAGTCGTCGTGGGCCCCTCCTGCGCGCCTCCTTGGGCCGTCCTGGGCCCAGCAGGGGCCGTGTTGGCACCCTCTCGGGGCTGTCTTGGAGCCGTCTTGAGCCGTCGCAGCGCGCCTTGGGTTGTGCTGGTTCCGCCTTGGCCCGTCTTGGGGCCTCCCTTGGCGTTTCCTCGGACCCTCCTGGGACTTTCTGGGGCCTATTGGGGCATCGGACTGCCGAAATGGCGGGAAACGCAAAGGGTGTAACAATAAACAATGGAAAATTAACGATTTTTGCCAGCTGGGGCTCTTGCCATCTTGGCCCGTCTTGAGGCCCCGACCGGGCGCCTCCTGGTTCAGAAACGCCACGAGGTCGCCTGGACAGACCAAGAGGGACCCAACCGAGCCCCAGGTCGGCCCCAGAGGCCTGCAGGCCAGGAGGCTCCCAAGGCGGCCCAGGAGGACCCCCCGGAGGGATCCAAGAGGCAAAAATTGCTTCATTCCCTTTGGAAAACGTACATGTATGATATGCTCGCCTTCACCGCGTCCAAGACGGCATACAGGCCTTCCCGATCGCCCCAAGACGCCCCCAGAGCACCCCAGCAGGGCCCCCTAACGGCCCGAGGCGGGCCCGCGACGGCTCCAGAGACGCCCTAGACGGCCCAAGAGGCAACCAAGACAGCCCCAAGAGCGGTCAATCACGGCCCAAGACGGCCCCAAGACGGTCCGAGCTGTGCCCAAGACGGCCCCACACGGCCCCAAGACGGGCCAAGAGGCACTTAAGACGGCCCAAGAGGGACCCAAGGGATTCCTGGGAGCCCGAAAAGAGGCCCCCAAACGGCCCCCACGAGGCCCTAAGTGGCTTCCACCGTGCCTCTAAGAGAGGGGGGTCGGACGAGAGGCGAGGGCCGGACCGCATGCCCACAAGAGCTGTTTTCAACGCTCTGGGGCCCTTCCATGTTTGTTTTGTGGGAGCGGTCCAGAGCGCCCCGGAGCGCTCCAGGAGCCCTTCGGGCGCTCCAGGACCCTTGGAGGCCCCCCAGATGGCGCCATGAGGGCCCCACACGGCGCCATGCGGGCCCCAGACGGTCCCTGCACGGTCCAGGAAGCCCCAGTCCACGAGGCCCTTCAAATGGGCACGACACGACCCAAGCGAGCGCCAAGGCGCTCCGAGAGGCCTCCAAAAGGCCTCACAAGAGGGTCCCGAGTGGTCAAAATCGTTTGTTGTCCTACGCTTTCCCAAAGATTTCCCGCTTGCCGCCAATTCAGATTTCGGACATTCGAAGCAGCCCTGGAAGACTTCAAGGCCACCCCAAAAAGACCCAAAACGCCCCCAGGAGGCTCCCAGGAGGGCCCCAAGACGGGCCAAGACCGCCCCACCACTGCCCAAGGCGCGCTAAAGACGGCCCAAGACAGCTCCAAGACGGCTCCACGAGGGTGCCAACACGGCCCCAGACGGGCTCAGGACAGCCCAAGACGCGCTCAAGACGGCCCAAGACGACTCCAAGACGGTCCCAGGAGGGTGCCAACACGGCCACAGATGGGCCCAGGACGGCCCAGTCTCAGAGCGGCCCGGGGTCTCGCAGGGCGGCCTGGAGAGCCCGGCGGACATTTCAAGACAGAGGACCTTCTGGCACGCATCATGGCATTCGGCGAAATCCGCCACCGTGCCTTTGCCTGGGTAATGGCTCAGAGGCGTCTGGGGTCCCTCTGGGAGGCAGCTTTGGGGCCTCTTGGGGGCCGACTTGGAGCCTCGTGGGGCTTGCTTTGGGCTTCTTGGGGCCTCTGGGGACCTCTTCACGTTCCCTTTGGGGGGGTCTTGGGGCCTTGTGTGGGCGTATGGGGGCCCAGGGCTCGGAGTGTCAGGGTTTTTCCTCGTGCTTTGGCCCCCTCTTGGGCCTGGCTTGGGGTCCTCCGGGGCCGTCTCGGGCGCCTCTTGGGCCATCTTGGGGCTCCCTGGACCGTCTGGGGACGTGCTTGGAGGCCTGTTGGGCCGTCCTGGGGCGGTCTTCTGGGTCTCTTCGGCCGGCTTGGAGCGTCGGCCAGCCGAGAAGGTGAGCAGGAGAACTCCTTCAAAAACAATGGACAAATGCAGGATTTTGGCCTCTGGGGACATGTTTCGGAGGACTGTTGGAGGCTCTTGGAGGCCTCTAGAGCATTGGTGGGGTCCTCTAGTGGGCCTCGTGGGCCTTGTTGGGGGCCTCTAGGGGGCCTCTTGGACGCTCCTTGGAGCCTCTTATGGCCACTGCGGCGCGTCTTTGGGCGGATGGCTCGATTTGTGACGCTCGGGGGCCAGGATCTGCGTGATGGGTGTCGAAAAATGGCCCTCCAGGGAGGGCAAAGTGCACGACCTTTTCGCACGCGCTTCCGTCTGCCATAGAGAAGAGACTAGGGCTGACCCGTGGACTGTATCCCCTTACGGGGTGAACGGGTGCGGCCGTCAGGCGATCAGGGTAGATGGCGTCATGTTCGCGTCGCGGGGGCGATGTTGGAAGCGTTCTGTATCCTATCAAGGGTCTGTTGGGACCTGATTTGGGCCTCTTCGGGTGCCTTCGGGAGCGTCAGGGGGCCTCTCTGGGGCGAGCTGGCGGTTCCTGGGATCATCCTGGCGCGGAGGGGAAACGTCAGTTCGAAATCACCCTCGTGGGGCCCTCTTGCGGCCGTCTTGGGGGCCTCGTGGGCCGTCGTAGGGCCCTCTTGGGCTGTCTGGATCCTCTCTTGGGTGCCTCGTGGGCCATCTTTGGCGCGATCGTGGGAGCCCTGGGGGGGGCTTGGGGCGTGGAGGCTCCGAAGAGCGAGAACATGAAACTGGAGCCTTTGCAAAGGAGAGGAGGGCGCCACACTTTCCTGGGTGGAGTAGGGGAGGACATAAGAGGCGCATGGGCAACTCATTGTCCAGCTCTCTGAGGAACCTTCCCTCGGAAGCTTCTTGGAGGCGGTGTTGGGCGCGTCTTGCGGCCTCTTGGAACCTGATTTGGGCCAGTTCGGGAGCCTTCTGGGGCGTATGGGGGGCCTCTTTGGGGCGAGCTGGCGGTTCCTGGGATCATCCCTGATCGGAGGGCGCCAAATGTCTGTCAGTTCGAATTCCCCCTCGTGGGGCCCTCTTGGGACCGTCTTGGGCTGGGGACCTCTTGGGCCGTCTCGGAGCCCTCTAGGGCTGTCTGGGAGCTCTCTGGGGGGCCTGTTGGGTCATCTTGCCGCGATCTTGGGTGCCCTGGGGGCCGTCTCGGAGCGTCGAGGTTGCGAAAAGGCGAAGACGCTGAAACCCTTCAGGAGTAAAAAAAGGAATCAATGCCCCTCGTGGGGCCCTCTTGGGGCCGTGGCCCTCGTGGGCTGTCTGCAAGCTCTCTTGGGGGCCCATCTTGGCGCTCCTGCAGGATCCTGCGCGCCGGCCCGTGGCAATGCACCCCTGGCTCTGCAGGATCCTGCAAGCTCCAGTGCTCGGGTTGACCCTCGTTTGCACTGACCCCCGTTTCAAGGCTCCCGATCTGGGGCTGGCTCGGAGCCTCCGGGGCCGTCTCATTATGTCGCATCTGTGGGGGGCCTCGCCTGTCCCATCGTGCCAACCCTCCGTGTCGCGGCCGCGGCGGGCCCATGCCGAACGCACCGAGCCCGTGCCGAGTCCCCGGCGGCGCCGCGCCGCAGCCGCGTCGAGCCCAAGGCCGCAGCACACGAAGAGGCCGCCTATGACGGGGCAGGAGGAGGAGGAGGAGGAGGAGGAGGAGGAGGAGGAGGAGGAGGAGGAGGAGGAGGAAGAGGAGATGGAGGAGGTGGAGGAGGAGGTGGAGGAGGAGGAGGAGGAGGAAGGAACTCTCAACAGGCCCCCCTGGGCCCCCCCCCCTGGAGGCCGTCCGCGGCGCGGCGGGCCCCGGGCGGGCCCACAGGGCCGCCGCTCGTGTCCCTGGGCTTATATTGAAGGGGCCCTGGGACACACAAAGAAATGCATACAGATGAGAAGGTTCCCCATATTTTCCTATACTTTCTGGGTTCTTGTCTTCCCCTCAATTCCCAGATTTTCCTATATTTTCCTGGGAGTCGACGATTCATTGTGTCTGCGTGTTTTCCCCCTCCCGACTCATGTTGTTCCCGTCCTACTTAAGGGCCACATCCCAAAAAGAATCTCGAGCACCCGGAAGAGTATCAAAAGAGTGTCGAAACAGCGTCGAAACAGTGCCGGGCGAGTGTCCCCCAGGGCCCGACACGTGAACACCCGCGGGTTTCGGCACTTTTTGGGGCGCTCGACATTCTTTCTGGTGGTCCAGGCTAAAATAGGTTGGAACATCATAACCCTGGGCCCTTTTTCGCACGCGCTGCCCCCAGCATCGCATGCAGCGGAGGCCATGTCCACGAGGAATCTTCTGCACGAAACCCAGCCCTGAGACCCCAAGGCGTCCATTGATTGTTGGCGTGGGAGCGCCAGGCTTCCCATCGCAGGCCATCGAAGCCCAAGAAACCCAGGGCACCCTGGCGGCAAGCAGGGTGCTTCTTGACATGGGCCCCCGCTGTAGATGAGCTGACGTCGGGCTTAAGGCTCGTCTCCCACATCTCGCTCAGCAGCGCCAGCGCCTGCTGCCATTGCTCGCCCTTCTCGCACGCGGTGATTCCAGCGCTGTAGCTGACTAGGGCTGACCCGTGGACTCCGTCCACGACATCTTTCTGGAATGGTTCTCGGAGGAACGGCGCAGATTGTACCGGAAATCTACAAACACGGCGGCGGCTCGGGCGGCGGCAGCGAGACCGCGCCTTCGTGTCCGAGCTCTTGCAGCGCTCCAGCAGCTTGGCCCAGCGCACTGCTCGTTCACCCCCCTCCTATTGAGGACAGTTTCGACGTCTCTCGGGGACGTGCGTCGAAGTCGAAGCCCATCTGAGGCGTCTCAGGAGCGCCCGGGGAAGAGCTCGGGAGGCCATCGGGGAAAGCCACCGAAAGCGCCGGGGAGGCTCGCAAGGATCTACAGGGAGGGCCCAAGAGAGCTTCAAGAAAATTTGAAATTCTGTAAAATCTTTAGGGAAACCGCTGTTGGGTCGGCCATCACCTCCGGGCACGCCTTGATGGTGCGATCCAGTCGCATCACCGCCAACGGGAGGGTTTGTTCGCCATGTCCCATTCTGTTCGCCCAGAGGGTCTGTGGAGGCCTTCGGGCGAACAGAACGGGACAGGGCAAGGAATGGGGAAGACTTGTCCGAATCTCCTAGGCCCCCCAGATGCTCGTCCGAAGAACGCGGAGAGGTCCCTGAGTCATATCAATTGGCTGCTGTCCCAGGGATCCGGTCTGGTTGGCCCAAAGAGTTTGCCAAGGCCCCTGGGGGAACAGAATGGTACAGAATATGGGGCAAAGGGGGGCGGTAGCTGGCCTGTCAGACCCGGCGTTTGTTTTCTGCCCAAGCGGCGCGGGGCCCACGGGCCCCAGGGTTGGCGGCCCGCTGGGTTTCCTTTGTTCGCCCACAGGGTTGGAGGAGGCCTCCAGGCGAACAGAATGGGGCAGGACAATGAATGTGGGAGACTTGTCGCAAGCTCCCAGCCCCCCCGAGTGTTCGCCCGAAGGGTGTGGGGCCGCGTTGGCTCCCTCAAAGGGCCGTCTTGGAGCCGTCTAGGCCCGTCTTGAGGGCGCCGTTTGCAGTGATGGGGCCGTCTCGGTTCGTCGTGGGCCCTTCATGGGCGCGTCCGTAGGCTGTCCTGGGCCCATTGGGGTCCTTCTTGGCACTATCCTGGGGCTGTCTTAGAGCCGTCTGGGACCGTGAGGGGGCCGCCTTGGAGTCGTCTTGGGCCCCTCCTGTGCGCCTCCTTGGGCCGTCCTGGGCCCGGCAGGGGCCGTGTTGGCACCCTCTTGGGGCTGTCTTGGAGCCGTCTTGAGTCGTCGCAGCGCGCCTTGGGTTGTGCTGGGTCCGTCTTGGCCCGTCTTGGGGCCTTCCTGGGCGTTTCCTCGGACCCTCCTGGGACTTTCTAATGCCTCTTGGTGCATCGGACCGCCGAAATGGCGGGAAACGCAAAGGGTGTAACAGTAAACAATGGAAAATTAACGATTTTTGCCAGCTGGGGCTCTCTTGCCATCTTGGCCCGTCTTGAGGCCCCGACCGGGCGCGTCCTTGGGCCGTCCCGGGCCCGCCCTCCTGGGACCGTCTTGGAGTCGTCTTGGGCCGTCTTGAGCGCGCCTTGGGCTGTCCTGAGCCCGTCTGGGGCCGTGTTGGCACCCTCGCGGCGAGGAAGCTCGGAGGCGGGCTCGAGGCCTCTGTGGGGCCATTTTGGAAGCTGTTGGGGCCTCTGTTGGGGCCTCGTTTGGGCTCCTTGGGAGCCTCCTGGAGCCTCTTCGGGGGATTCTTGGCGGCCCCTGGGGCCTCTTGGGAGCCTGTTTGGGCCTCCTGGCGCCCTCTTGGGGCGGAAGGCTCGGATTTTCGGTCCGTGGTCCCCCTCTTGGCCCCCTCTTGGGCCTGTCTTCGGGCCGTCGTGGACTGTCTTGAGCGTCTCTTGGGTCGTCTTGGGGCCCTTTTGGGCTGTCTTGGGGCGCTCTTGGAGGCCTCTTGGGCCGTTCTGGGGCGCTCTTGGAGGCCTCTGAGGCCGTCTTCGAGCGTCGGAAAGCGGAAAAGGCGAGAAGGCAAAAATGCTTCCGAAACCGTCGTGAAGTGGATGATTTTGGACGCTCGGGGCCCTCGGGGAATACGCTTGCAGGCCTCTTGTGCCGTCTGGGCGGCCTCTTGGAGCGCTCTTTGGGCGTCTCAGGAGCTCCTTGAGCTGTCTTGGGGGCCTCTTGGGGCCTCCGGAGCCTCTCCGGAGCCGCCCAAGGCGTCTTTAAACCGCGCCGCCTGGGGCCGGGGCGTCGGAGGAGCCACCCGACCCCCGCCCCTCTCACACGCGCGTATGCCTGCAATGTAGTAGAGACTAGGGCGAACCCGTAGACTTCGTCCACGACCAGCAGGTCCCCCTGGCGGGCCTCCACGTTGGGCCCCCGCCCAGGAAAAAGCCACCCCGAAACCTTCGGTTACTTTTTCCGGCCGCCATTCCGAAGTTGGAAGGCGGGCGCTTCCTCCTCTTCGTCCGCCTTCCGCTCCACGTCCGCCTGGACAGCCTTCGGAGCATCACAGACGGCTATGGTGGGTCTGCGGTGTGCCTCCCGCCGCTTGTCTGCTCCCCCTGGTTTGAACAATTTTGAGAGCACCTGGGGTCGAGAAAAAAGTCACCCGAAGGGCTCTGGTGAATTTTTCCCGGTTGACTTGTCGAAGCCTGATAGCGGGCGCTGCCTGTTTGGGGGCCTCTCGGGGTTCCTTTTCGGCCTCCTGTGGGCCTCTTGGGGCCCTTTTGGGCCGTCTTGCGGCCTCCTGGGGTCCTCTTGGGGTCCTCTTGGGCCGCCTTGGGTGCCTCTCGGGGCCGTCTGGGGCGTCTGGGGGCCGTCTAGAGGCCCTCTGGGGCTTTGTACTTCACCGATCGCTCTTTTAATGGCGTCTCTGGGCTTGCTTGGTGGTCCTTGTGGGGATCCTCTTCGGGTCATTCTGAAGCTTTTTTGGGGTGCTCTTGGGAGCGTTTTGGGACGTCTTGGGGCCATTTTGGGCCGTCACGGGGCGTCTGGGAGGCCTTGGACCGTCTTGGAGCTCTATTGAGGCTGCCTGAGGCCGTCTTGGGAGCCTCTTGGGGCCCCCTCGGAGCTCTCTTGGGGCCATCTTGGGGTTCTGCAACGCCGTTTCAGGGCTCTCTGGCGTCGTCTTGGGGCTCTTGTGGGCCGTCTTGGAACCCTCGTAGGGGCCGCTGGCGTCTTCTTGGGGCGATTTGGGAGGCCTCTTGGCGTGTCCTGGGCCGCTGAGGAGCACACAACGGGCATGCTGAAAATATACGTCTTCCTCATTGGAAGTTGACGATGCGTGACTCTTTGGCGTGCGCTCGGGGCCCTCTTGGGGCGCCTTGGACCGTCTTGGAGCTCTATTGAGGCTGCCTGAGGCCGTCTTGGGAGCCTCTTGGGGCCCCCTCGGAGCTCCCTTGGGGCCGTCTTGGGGTTCTGTGAGGCCGTTTCAGGGCTCTCTGGCATCGTCTTGGGGCTCTTGTGGGTCGTCTTGGAGCCCTCTTAGGGGCCGCTGGCGTCTTCTTGGGGCGATTTGGGAAGCCTCTTGGCGTGTCCTGGGCTGCTGAGGAGCACACAAGGCGGGCATGCTGAAAATATACGTCTTCCTCATTGGAAGTTGACGATGTGTTCCTCTTTGGCGTGTGCTCGGGGTCCTCTTGGGGCGTCTTTGCGGCCTCTTGGGTCGTCGTGGAGCCCCCCCGGGAAGGCTTCGGGCCCTCGTGGGCCGTCTCGGGACCCTGCTCGATTCGGCCACGTGGTGGCGTAAAGGGGCGATTTTGTGCACACGAGGCCCTGTGAACCCTTCTCGCACGCAGATCCACTGGCCATGTAGGAGAGACTAGGGCGAACCCGTGGACTTCGTCCACGTCATCTTGGGCCAGTCTTGGCTCGAAAAGGCCGTCTTGGGCCTGTCTTCGCTCGAAATGGCGAGAAGGTGGAAATCTTAGAAACCATAGAAGAATCAATGATTTCGTTTGCCGCGGCTCGTCTGGAGCGTCTTCGAGCGGTCTTGGGCCGTCTCGGAGGCCCTCTTGGACCGCTTCCTTCTCTCCGTCCGCCTTCCGCTCTACCTCCGCCTAGACAGCCTTCGGAGCGTCACAGACGGCTGTAATAAGTCTGCGGTATACATCTCGCCGCTTGTCGATTTTGAAAGCACCTGGGGCCTTGAAAAAAGTCACCCGGAGAGCTCTGGTGACTTTTTTCTATTTGCCTCTTTCTTTTTTACCCTCCAGCGAGGCACCAACCAACTTCCGCCACACGAAATCACCAGACTGGATGTCTGTTGCCGAGTTCACGCAACTACGACCTACCCGCCAGGCGCGAGACAAAAACCCTGGACGGGGGCAACGAAGCAGATGCATGTCACGGGATCGGTGCATGGACGGAGAACGACACCACGACCACCACGGCACAGTGGCCCACGCCACATGGCCGAACAGCCGTGAAGAAACGAGGACAAGCGCAGCGGCACCGCACATGGACAGGAAGTGGACGGAGACTGTCCTGCGAACGTGGCCGAAATTACGGCAACAAGTTTCAAGCTAAACAGGACAGGAGGACAAAAAGAAAGACAACTGCACCAACGGAGCCAACCCACAAACCAAATTTCTGAAAGTGTCTGGTTTGCCTCCTTCTTTGGCACCAGAGCTCTACACGATACGAACTCACCCCAGGTCGTATCGGTGAAACGGGGGAGGGAAGGAGAGGGGGGACAAGGAGAGGAGGAGGGAGGGAAGAAAGGAGAATGAGGGAAAACACAAACGGCCAGTCAAATGAGTTGAACAATGTGGAGCCAGCCTTGGGAGGCGCAGGGGACGGGAAGCTCTGAGAGCAAACCGCCCCTGACGCCCCCAAGGCGGTGAGCGCCGCCCCGAGGAACGGGGACCAGCACCAGTGAACATTAAAAAGCACTGGGCTAACATGCAATGCAAAGCGGTGCTCGACAGAGAACGAGGGAGAAGGAGAGAAGAGGGGAAGACGAGCAAAGAACTGCGGGCCGCATGCCCACGGCCCCTCAGCTCAGCGAAACTGGAACGACTCGCCCCACCCGCTCTGCCCAAGGCGGAAACACC